GGTGAGAAAGGGACTCTCCTTCACTGCTGGTAGGAATGCCAACTGGTTCAGCCCTTGTGGAAAATAGTATAGACGATTCTAAAAAAATTAGAAATTGAGCTCCTGTTTGACCCAGCAATACCACTCCTGGAAATATATCCTGGAGATGCAAAAAATGTACAGTCAAAGTGACATTTGCACTTCTATATTGATTGCTGCACTATTCACAATAGCCAAAATCTGGAAAAAACCTGAGTGCCCGAGAACAGATGACTGGTTAAAGAAACTTTGATACATCTACACAATGGAGTACTATGCAGCTGTTAGAAAAGATGAAGTCATGAAATTTACATTCAAGTGGTACTACATGGAAAGTATCATGCTAAGCGAAATGAGTGCGAAAGAGAGAGACAGACATAGAAAGATTGCATTTATCTGGGGAATATCATGGTCACGGTCCTCCCGTTATTCATCGATTTGCTCGAGTGGGCCCAGTAACGTCTCCATCGTGAGTCTTGTTGTTACTGTGTTTGGCATATCAAATACATCACAGGTGGCTTGTCAGGCTCTGCCATGCTGGCGAGATACTCTCGGTAGCTTGCCAGGCTCTCTGAGAGGGGCGGAGGAATCGAACTCGGGTCGACCGTGTTGGCCGCTTGTAAAGCAAACGCCCTACCACTGTGCTATCGCTCCAGTCCGTCTGGGGAATATAAAGTAACAAAATAGGAGACTAATACCCAAGAATAGCTGAGATAAGTTCCAGGAGGTTCACTCCATAGCTTGGAGGCCAGCTGCACATGCTAGGGGAAAAGGCAACTCAGATAGAGAAGGGAGCACCAAGTAAAGGGTGTTGGGAAGATCCTCCCAGGATGAGAGATGCATGCTGAAAGTAGACTATAGACTGAACACGATTGTCGCTCAATGCCTCTCTTGCAAACCACAGCATCCAAATGGAGAGAGAGAACAAAAGGGAATGCTCTGCCACAGGGGTGGGGTGGGATGGGATGGGGGCATAGGGGTGGGTGGGAGAAATACTTGGAGCATTGGAGGTGGAGAATGGGCACTTGTGGAGGGATGGGTACTCACTTACTGTATAACTGAAACCCAAGCACAAAAATTTGTAAGACTACAACTGTATATCATGGTGTTTCTCTAATAAAAATTAAAACAAAAAGAATCACTGCAAATAAACTGAACGGAAAACAAATCTCTTGACTCTGTGAGAATTCTGGTAGGAATTTTTCAGGAGAGAAAGAAGAAGGAGGTGTAAGAAATGGATAGAAGGGATAGAGACTAACTTTCTGGGTATGGGATATTTCTAGAACATTGTGGCAGGTTTGGTTGATGTTAAATGTATAGAGATGTATAGAATTATACTCCTTTTACCCACGATTTCTTTTTATTACTGTTTATCATTAAAAATAAACCAAGAATCATAGCATTGCCTTTATTAAATTATTTCTATGTGCAGTCACTCTTAGAAATCTTCCGCTTGATATTTGAAACAGTTTAGCATTATTTTCAAGGGATTTAACAACAAAGAAATGTAATTTGAATCATGTTTTCTTCTTACATACACTCTACAGGGCTGGATCGATAGCACAGGGGGTAGGGTGTCTGCCTTGCATGCGGTCATACAGGGTTCGATTCCTCTGCCCCTCTCGGAGAGCCCGGCAAACTAACAAGAGTATCTCGCCCACACGGCAAAGCCCAGCAAGCTCCCTATGACATATTCAATATGCCAAAAACAGTAACAACAAGTCTCACAATTTCTTGTGAGATGTTACTGGTGCCTGCTGGAGCAAATAGATGAACGATGGGAGGACAGTGACAGTGACAGTTACATATTTTACATGATGCTGGCTCATTATTTTAGCCAGCATCATGTAAAATAACTTCGAAAGAAATACTTTAAGAACAAACAGGTCATTTCTTAGTGCATGCTACTATGAAAACTCAGAAATCTCTAAAAAATAGAATTTTGTTAGGTAGAAAAAAGAAAGCAACAGAATATTATTATTTTGAAATTTCATAATTTTGCAATTCATAATGGGAAAGAAAATTTAGAAGAGATTATTCAACATCAAGTTTTATTACTTAGGAGTGATAATATTGGTTAGAAAACAGACTTGGTAGTGAACAATTTGTGTAAAGTATTTGAAAGTCACTCCAGAGTAATGAAGTTATAAGAAGCCCAGAAAAGCAGCACAGCGGTAGGGCGTTCGCCTTACAAGCGGCCAACATGGCCAACCCGAGTTCGATTCCTCCGCCCCTCTCGGAGAGCCCGGCAAGCTACCGAGAGTATTCGATATGCCAGACACAGTAACAACAAAGCCTCCAATGGAGACGTTACTGGGCCCGCTCGAACAAATCGACGATCAACGGGAGGGCCTTTACCTTTACCTTTACCTTACCTTGCTTTATTTTAAATTAAAATATTAAAATTTAATCTATTTAAAGTTATTTATAAAGATAAGGAAAACATAGGAATGAACTCTAAGCAAAAGTTTTCCAAAAATATGCCTCAGTGATTTTCTTACTGTAATTTATTTCTTCTTGGTATAACCTTGCAAAATAAGCACAGATATTTTAATTAAATGATTTAACTAGAATATTCGATGCGTATCATATAAACGCTATTTTAAAAAAATAACACACGGAAAAAACTAAAAACACTTTTAAAAAATATGCTGCAGACGGAAAGCCTTGGTACCAGACCTTTTTATCTCGTCAAAAAGTGAAAACAGCACAAGCTCCATCTAGTGGTTAAATTTAGCGTGTGCTCCTTAAAGACGGGAAATCAGTTGGTTATCACTCTGGACTGTGGTTGTATAAAATCAGAGGGACCTCACACTGCCCTCCTGTGGCCAATCTGAGAAACTGCTTTAAATGTTCCTAATCCTTCAATTTGAATCCAAAAACTTGAAAGCCTTTATTCAGTAACTCACACTGAAATGCCCTATAATAAAATATCGTAAAGTATCATAAATCAGGCGATTTTATAAAAGCTAGCTATTTTTTAAAATAGTTATATACTTAAAAATATTAAATATGTTTAACTCAAAGGCGTGTAAAATAAATTTAATTAATGTGTAAATTATAATTAATAATAAATTTATTTGAAATATATGACCTAATAATAAATTACAACTAAACAACTTTAGTCTATATATTAATAGCCATAATATTGATCACTGGATCAATGTATCACTGTCATCCCATTGATCATTGATCTTCAATTTACTTGAGCGGGCACCAGTAACATCTCTATTCCTCCCAGCACTGAGATTTTAGCAGCCTCTTCTTACTCTTCTTTTCCCAACAATTGGAAGCTCTTTCAGGGTCAGGAGAACGAGACCTGGCATTTGGCATATCTAATACGCCATAGGCTGGAGCGATAGCACAGCGATTTGGCATTTGCCTTGAGCGTAGATGGCTGGCCAAGCTAAGTTTGATTCCTCCGCCCCTCTCGGAGAGCCCGGCAAGCACGGCAAAGCCTGGCAAGCTCCCTGTGATGTATTCAATATGCCAAACACAGTAACAGCAAGTCTCACAAATGGAGACTTGACTGGGCCTGCTCGAGCAAATCGATGAACAACGGGAGGGCAGTGCAGGACAGTGGACAGTGCAGTATGCCACAGGGAGCTTGCCAGGCTCTGCCTGTGTGGGCGGGATACTCTCCGTAGCTTGCTGGGCTCTCTGAGAGGCATTTTATTGATAGTTAAGAATAAAGCCTCTACCTACCAACCTATTTATATAATAGATAAATTGAACTATAGAAAGAAAAATTGCATCCTTGAATATTATTTAGGGTAAGACTAAAAATGTAAGCAAACTTAAGAAGAAGAGTAGTAGAAATAGTCGTAGTAGTTATTAGTAGTACTCAGGGACTATTCCTGTTCTCAGAGTTACTCCCTGAAGCGTTTGGGGAATTAAGTGATGCTAGTGATCAAACCCATACCTGCATCAGTAGCATGTGATCAGATGATTGAATTATCATCCTGGTCCTAAAACGTGAATGAAATGAATGGAGTATTCACGATTGCATAGTTTTCTTTAAGGTAAAGATTCCTGTTTCTTTTCTTTCTTTCTTTTTTTTCTTTTTAATGTAGGAGTACTGTTATCTAACCAGCCACTGATAAACTATTGATTAACCTGATTGGATTGGGCATGAACTCCACATGGTGATGGGTGTCTTTGTTTTTTTCTTTTTGGGTCACAACCTATGATTTACAGGGGTTCCTTCTGGCTCTGCACTCAGGAATTACTCCTGGTGGTGCTTGGAAGACCCTATGGGATGCTAGGAATCGAACCAGGCTGACTGTGTGCAAGGCAAAGGCCCTACTCGCTGTACTATCGCTCCGGCCCAGATTCCTGTTTCTTTGTCACATACTCTTTGTTATTTCATTGACTTGTACAACTAGAAGAACAATCCTAACTAATTATGGCTGTACACTACACAGCTCCTTTCTTTAATATTTTTTCTCTAATTTTAGGGTGTACATGGCAGTGCTTGGGAAATAATCCTAGCTTGGTTGTTTGGGGGTTGTTTCTGGCAGTGCTCAGAGGACTACGTGGTACTGGAAATCAAATCTGCGTCTCTTGTATGCAAAGCATGTGCTTAATCTATTGAGTTGTCTTTTGACCCACAGAATATCTCCTTAATAAATAAATCTGAAGAGAAATAATCAAAAATTAAATATTGCGTGCTTAATTTATAGAGATGAGCAGAAATGAGTAGTATGTTCTAGTTTACACACATTCTCAATGGAACTAAAAATATGTCTGCCTGGATCAGTTCCACTTACAATTTGTATTAAGTGCCAACAATGTGCCAAGCATTGTACTAAGGACTAGAGATATTGATCTCAGTTAATAATTAGTTTATCCTTAATTTCTTAAGTAGAACATTACCTTCCCCACAGTTTCTGTGCAGTCAGTCTTGCTGATGAGCAGAGGATGTACTACAACATATCACAATCACATAAATAAAATGCAAAGTAGAAATGTAGATTTCTTACCTCTAAACTAGCATGTAAGGAACAGACCAATAAAATGGGAGGGTTTGAAATTCGGAATCCACAGGCACCAGGAATTAGCTGCAATTCTAAAAAAAACCATATCAGATCACTTTTATAGAATTCCTGTAAGCGTATGCTAATAGATTTAAAAGAAACTCTTGGGGACTTGAAATACAAACAGAATTTTCTTTTACACATGTTGTCCTTTGCACTGGGAGGAACTGTTTAGAAACTGTGGGCAAAATAAAATAGCGTTTCCAGGTTGACTAGAAGAGGATGCTCTGATAATTTGGGTCCTTATTGGTTGGGCAAATGTGAATTCATTTAAAATATTTTTCCCATTTTCACTGCTGAATGCCATTAGACATGCTGTAAAACAGACCTTTTAGATGCTTTCCTGGACCCAATTTTTTTCTCCCACCCCCAAACCAGTTTTTCTGTTCTTCCCAATAATTTGCTTTTATTTTATTAAACCATATCAAAGAAAGGAAACCATTATGATTTGAATAACTTATCCTTGTAATGTTGCTCACAAGTGAAATGTGAAATAAGCTAAAAAGAAATTTTAAAGATTTCCTTAGAAGTATTATCAAGTCAGGTGATATTTTTAAAGGAAATTTGAAAAAACTAATCTACCTAAGTATAGTACAGAGTCCCAATTTACAATAGGTCTACTTAAGACCCTTCAACTGAGACTGTTTTTTAGGAATGCAATATTGCTTTCAGCTTCATAGACTAATAGAATACAGGAAACCATCTTCACTTTAATTATTAGTAATGAACCACAAAGGAAATTTATCACTTTTTAAAAATGGAGATGCTTTTGCCCAACTATAAGTTAGTGCAAATGTCTTCAGCATTTGTAAGGTGAACTAAACTGTTAACATAACATACAGATTAAGTTAAATAAATGCATTTTAAGTATATTTTTCAATTCATGTGAGTGTATAGTGGCAAAGTAATTGTAATCAAGAGTGTCATGTAAGGCAAATTAATGGGTGATATCATGATAATTGTTATTATATTACATAGTAGAAAGTTAAAACTAATAGTTAAGATTACTAGTAAGAAGCGGCTCTCCAGCACGGCCACGACTCCAGAGCACAGAAACCAATTTCTTAACTATCTGACTTTCAGTAGAAATACTTCCAGGGTCAATAAGTAAAATAGCAGAAATCCAAAACCAACATATAATTCTTGAACCCAGCTGTAGAAAGCAAATCACTTCACAATGCTTTTTCAGCATATCTGATTTGGGGGGGGGTAAACTCTAAATAATAGTGGTGAATCTTTTATTGAAACAATGAATCTAATCAAAGCAGATAGAGTGTTAACTAGAATTCATCTGCCCCACAGGGACTGGGAGGGGTGGGGGGTGGGGTTTTATTGGGGTTCTTCATGGTAAAAAATAAGTTTTGGTAAAGGGAAATGTGCTTGATATTTGCATGACTGAGACCGAAACCTGAAAGCTTTGTAACCTTTCCCATGGTGATTCAATAAATAAATAAATAAATAAAAAAAAAAAAAGATTACTAGTAAGAGATGAAATCGAAACTAAGGCTGTATAAAATAATGTTCAAGGTCTTTTGAGTTTCAGCTAATCCATTGCTAATCAAATCATGCCCCATGGACCACGTCTGGTGCACTGCTTATTTCTGTAAATAATGTTTTATTGGATCATCCCCTTACTTGCTCAGTTATGTTTGTCTGTGACTGCTCTAGCACCATGATGAGAGACTTGAATTTTTGCCACACAGACAATATTGCCTGGAAAGCTTCGAACATCTCAGATCTGCTGGCCTTTGAAGAGACACTTTAACCATTGCTGACCTATTCAAATCCCATTACTTACAGATGAGAATATCTATCAAGAAGCATTTAGGCACTGGCAGAAAAGAGCTAATTATTTTAATTCTTCAAGATAGAATGCGGGCTTCTCGATTTGACTACAAGAGACTGCCTTAGTTCTGTGCATCTTTGTTGCTTTTTTGCAAATGTGAATATATTTAAAATATTATCTCAGGGTTGGAAGCAATCTGAAGTATCAAGTTTAGGTTGAACTCTTACAATATGTATGAAGCTTTCTGTATCATGTGTGACTGAATAATAAAAAGAAAGATCTTGGCAGTTTCTGTGCATTGTGTACTTTGTTTCTATCCATGAGGGTTTAAGTGCTATTCTACAGTAGGTGAGAAAAACTGCAGAAGGAGTCAAATTTGAAGAAAGATGGGGATGCAAGTATTAAATAGCAATGCTATGTACGTGTTTCTTTAAAACTTTGCACTTGTCTTATCCTTAAAGAAATATTAACATCAAATATGTGAGAAAAATTCAAAGAGCCCAACATGGTGTAACTTATGGAGCATCATAAATGTTCTAAGGGCAGTGTGATGTTGGAGCTCTCTGGGACTGAACTCAAAAATTACCTCCTGTCATTTCTTCCCGATGTAGATATTCAGCATGATGAGTTCTGAGTTCCCTATGTTACAATTCTCTCACTCTTATCCTCCTACAAAGGGCCAGCTCCCATCATGCTGAAATCTATACAAACTTAGTCTTACACTCTGAAAATGTCACCTCTTATTTTAAGAATTCTCAGTGGCATTTTCAAATTACACTCTCCATGAGGCATTTATATATATCTCATATAGAGACCCGAGAAAATTTAAATAAAAATAAAATGACTTACAGAGTAAAATTAAATACACTTACTGTTATCCATTTTAAATCTGGTACTGAGGTCATGGCCAAACCACCCCACTAACCTAAAACACAAAATGCAACGTTAGATATTTTGTTTTACTAAATAACCAAATAATTATAAGAATTTGGGCCGCAAAGGTTAAAGTCATTTGTAGATAGAAACCATCAATACTTAAGCATAAAATACTGTATGATTATAAAGTAATTGATATTTGTTGTTTTGTGTTTATACCTAGATGTGCTCAGGGCTTACTCCTGGCTTTGTGCTTTTGACTTGGAAGATAGTAAATGAGACCGAGGATCAAACCAGGTTTAGCCATGTGCAAAGTAGGCACCTTTAACCACCTTTAACCCTGTACTATCTCTCCTGACCCATTAATTAGTATTTATATCTTTGTTGATGCAGATAAAATCAATCTATTGATATTGCATGTTATATTTATTTTGATGAGGTAAACCATCCAATGAACTGTGTGGTTAATGAATTCATTCAGAATACAATGAAGTAAAATGTTGACTTTCATTTAAGAAATGGTAAAAGTTAAAAATTCAAGTGGTAGAATGCTGAGATGTGATTCTGTGGTAGAGTTCCGGCTTCAGAGAAATGAGTCCATACATGGTACCATGGGTACAATCCTTGCTTTGTCAACCATCATTCCTAGGAAACAACAAGTGCAACTCACTGTGAACTGCAAGTTTGTGACTGTGGCATTACAACAATTGTGCAATACTGGGGGCCACAGGTATTCTGGTTGAGACATCTCCCAAGTATGATATCTAATACATAACAACAAAAAAGAGTAAAGTGCCTCATTCATAACATGGCTGCAGAGGTCCCTTCCAGTAGTCCCAGCTTTTCTTGGACATTCTGAAGTCTTAGACTGCTCCTGTCAGATTGACAGTTCGCTGCTCAGGCCTGGTGGTGTAATGTTCCAGAAACTCAGGGTCATGCCAAGCAGTTATTGGTGGCCATGGAATGGTGAACATTTTCATTATTGAGTGGACTACCTCAAAAGTCTCTCAACGCTTTTTATAATGGACCCAGAAAAAGAAACAATACAAAGATAATCTATTTAATTGATAGCACAGCGGGTAGGGCGTTCGCCTTACACGCGGCCAACATGGCCGACCCGAGTTCGACTCCTCCGCCCCTCTCGGAGAGCCCGGCAAGCTACTGAGAGTATTCGATATGCCAGACACAGTAACAACAAAGTCTCCAATGGAGACGTTACTGGGCCCGCTTGAGCAAATTGACGATCAATGGGAGGGCCTTTACCTTTTACCTTACCTAAAAATATTACTGACCCTTGCAAAAGAAGTCAGCTTGAATAGAGAAGGACAACTAAGTCAATGATGGTTGGAGGGATCACTCTGGTTCGGAGATGTGTGCTGAAAGTAGACAAAGGACCAAACGTGATGGCCTTTCATTATCTATACTGCAAACCATAATGCCCAAAAGTATAGAGAGAGTAAAAAGAAAATTGTCTGCCATAGACGGTGGAAATGGGGTGGGGTGGAAATAGCAAGAGGGATACTGGGGAAATTGGTGTTGGAAAATGTACATGGTGGAGGGATGGGTTTTGGATCATTGTATGACAAACTCGATGAAAGATTTGCAAGTGTATTTGTGATTCAAATATAGTGATTCAACTTTAAAAAAAAAGTATTACTGAACCTGAGATATAGTACAGCTTGCCTGGGATATGGCTAACCCGGGTTGGATCTCTGGCCCTCCATACAGTCCCCTGAGTCCATAAGGAGTGATCCCTGAACAGATAATTTCTTTAACCAGTCGCCTGTACTCATACACTCAGAGTATTTCCAGATTCTGGCTATTGTGAACAGTGCTGCAATGAAAATGCAAGTGCAGATCTCATTTTTTTCTTTTTTTTTGGGGGGGGTCACACTTGGCAATGCTCAGGGGTTACTCTTGGCTCATTTCATTTCATTTCATTTCATTTCATCATCCTGTTATTCGTCGATTGCCTTGAGCAGGCCCCAGTAACGTCTCTTTCATCCTAACCCTGAGATTATATTCAAGGCTCTTTAGGAGAATGAGACCAATCATTGTAACTGGTATTTGGCATATTTGGTATACCACGGGGAGTTTGCCAGACTCTGCCCTGTGGGCAGGCTACATTCGATAGCCTGCAAGTTTGTCCAAAGTAGGAATGAGATAGTAAGATGTCATTAAAGATGTTCTGAGAAGATGTCGTGTGGCCGCAAATGCGGCCGCGCGGTTCCGGGAGCTGGATTTTATAGTCTCTGAGTCTTGGCTGTTGATGGGATTACACGGCGCCAGGGGGCCAGGTGGTGGGTGTGACCCCCGCCTACTGGAATTTGGAGGATCTGGGTGGAGGATGCTCGACTCCAATCCGAGTAGGCTGGGAGATCTCGGCCCCGGAACCCGCGTGGATTTGTCCCTCTGCCAGTACCTTCAGGTGTGCGGAGAGTGGTCTCAGCATGGTGGTGGCTGGTCCTGGAGGTCTTCGGCTGCCGGAGCCCCGGTCGGGGTGGGGAGGAAAGCTCAACCCGCTCCCCTCCAACGGGCTCCGGTGAGGAACGGCCAGGCGCGGGGGCAGACTGCACTGTTCTCGTCCGGGAGCTGGATTTTTCCTGGCTCATGCACTCAGGAATTACTCCTGGCGGTACTCGGGGGACCATATCGGATGCTGGGAATCGAACTTGTGTCGCCCATTTTGGCTGTGTGCAAGGCAAACGCCCTACCCGCTGTGCTATTGCTCCAGCCCCCATATCTCATTTTTACTGTGATTTTTTTGCACCCTTGGGATATATTCCCAGAAATGGTATTGCTGGGTAATTTGGAAGTTCAATATCTAGTTTTTTGAGGATTGTCCTGTTGTTTTTCAAAATGGCTGGACCAGTCAGTATTCCCAACAATGAATAGGATTCCCTTTCTCCCCACATCCATGCCAGCACTAATTGTGATATAAGATGATTTCTCATTGTTGTTTTGATTTACATCTCCCTGATGATTAGCGACATAGAGCATTTTTCATATGCCTTTAGGCCATATGTATTCCGTCTTTTGTGGAAGTTTTTTATTAATTTCCTTTCCTATTTTTTGATGGGGTTGGAAGGTTTTTTTCTTATAAAGTTTTACCATTGTCTTATATATCCTGTATCTTAATTCCTTATCTGTCGGGTATTGGGTAAACATTTTTTTCCCATTTTATGGGCTCTCTTTATTTTGGTCACCAGTTATTTTAAGGTGCAGAGGCTACTTAGTTCAATGTAGTCCCATTTGTTTATGCTTGTTTCCAATTTCTTGGACAGTGCTGTTTCATCACTAAAAATACCTTAGGAGAAATAAAATTACTGGATTGAGGAGATAGTACAGAAGGTACGGCACTTGCCTTGCAGCTGACGCATGTTTGATCCTCAACACCAAATATAGTCCTCAGAGTCCTGCCAGGAGTCATTCCTGAGCACAAAGCTAGATGTAAGCGCCGAGTACAGCTAAATACCTCAGCTCCTAAATATCACACATGAAACTAATTTGTGGAAATATGAGACATATGCATTTCGAATACACGAATGTGTATATGTGAGTATAACAATGAAAGCAAACAGCAAAATACATTGAAGAAAATTACAAGAATTTGAGAAAGAGAAAATTATAAGAAAATTTTGAGAGTTGTTTCTCTTTAAAGAAATGTTCAGTTTTAATCACGATCACGACCACCCTGTTGTTCGTCGATTGCCTCGAGCAGGTGCCAGTAACGTCTTCTTCGTCCTAGCCCTGAGATTTTTTTTTTTAAAGTGCCATATTCAAGGCTTTTTCAGGGTTAGGAGAATGAGATCCATCATTGTTACTGGTATTTGGCATATTGGGTATACCACGGGGAGTTTGCCAGACTCTGCCGTGTGGGCATGTTACATTTGGTAGCCTGCCAGTTTGACCGAATTAGGAATGAGATGATAAGATGTCCGGCCGGCCCCCGTTTCCCTCCCCGTCGCGGTGAAAAGGACACGCTTGCTAGGGCCGTGATCAGAGCGGCTCAGCGGTGCCCCGAGGCCCAGCCTCGAATCCATTCATTCATTCATTCATTCAGTTTTAATACTGCAAAATATTTTAAAAAATCAAAGCATTAATTTTAGTCTTTGGCAATGTTTTTTTTTTTGCGTCATTTTTGGCAATGCTTAGGGTTTACTCCTGACTCTGTGCTCAGGGATCACCCCTATTAGACTCGAGGATCTTACAGAGTGCCAGGGAATCAAACCGAGGTTGGTCACTTGCAAAGCAAGCCCCTGCACAGTGTACGATTTCTCTAGCCCAAGTTTTGCTTTTGTCTGGGGGCTACACTGACAGTGCTTGGGGTTATTCCCAGTACAGAGCTTGGAGGATCATGCAGCTCTGGGAACTGACCCTAGAATTCCCATATGCAAGGCATGTTCCTTTGCTCCTGGAGCTATCTCCCTGGCTCAGCTGAACAGGTGACAAAGCTTCCTGTGTGATAACTGTGAGGTTTGAAAAGATAAAGGAAGTTCATTTATATATTTAAATGACTGGAAAATGTACTAATAACTAAAAGAGCGTGTGAAGAAACCAATAAATTTGTAGACATTTATATGTATGTATTGCAAAGAAATTAAAAGAAAATTAAGATTTTTTTCTCATAATGTGAGAGTTTTCAACAAGTTTTCTTTTCTTTTCTTTCTTTCTTTTTTTTTAAAAAAAAGCCAGCACAAAAGAAGAGCTACACAGAACATGGACAGATATGTATAAATAAGTTAATTGATCAATAAAAATAAAATAATAAAATTGAAACTCAGGATAAGCAGTTAGAGTGCTATCCTTGCACAAAGAGGACGGGGATTTGATCCTCTGCATCCCATATGGTCTCCTGAGTAACATTTGAGCCAGAAATGAACCCTGAGCTTCTCTAGTGTGGCCCCAAAACAAAAAGAACAGAAACTGAGAGAACAAAAAATGCAATGCCCATAACAAATACAAGTTCAATTTAAAGACGATACCATATTTCATAAGCTAGTAAAGGCATTTATATCTATGATACCAATTTTTATCAATAAATAGGAA